AAACAACAATATCCGATGTACTACTATGTTTAAAGTTATATTCAAGAACGTTTTTTGATAGACGTATTGTACAAAGCCTTTGGGACGCATTTCTCACAGATAATGCGAAAAGCGAAGCAGTTACCATAACTTCGGTATATGTTCTAATTCAGTTTTTTGATGAGTTTTCAATAGTCATAGACGACTTCCAACGCAAACCTTATGTCGAAAAATTTATTTATAAACTATTGTTATCAGAAGGACGCGACGAGCGCAAAGCAGCTGTATTTCTTATGAAAAAAATGAATTGCCATCTTGATAAAAACGTTAAAAACTTTTGGTTATCGTACATCACCGTGTTAGAAAACTTGGAAGAAAATCAATCACATCTAATATTACCGTCTTTAGAATGCCTCAAGCAAAACATCTTAACAACCGCTGAAATACAACCATGGCTTGATATTCTGTACATTAAAATTTTGGCGCACCGAAATATTCTCGTCCTCCGTTGGGCACTTGAGTACATTCTCGAAACTTTTACCTGCGCAAATATAAACCCTGATGTATTACTGCAATTTGTAAAGGCCAGCAATCATACATGTTTATTCAATCACGAGAGCTATTTTTTACCAACCGGAAATATGCAACAATTTTTGAGCGAAGGGCTTGATCGATTTATGGGATGTATGTCAGAGGTTAATTTTAAGTGCGTCCCCTTGCACTTTTGGCTCTCCAATATTTTCACGTGTAAATCAATATCAACGGTATATTCGCGCGAGTTGATTTTAAAAATCGCAGCCAGAATTCGTGGACTTCAAAACCAACATATCAGAATAAAAGCAATTGAATTGTTTGAACACATATTTCGCGAAGCCATTTCTAGAATGCCGTTGAATGAATATGTCGTTTTAGTCGAATCGTTATATAATATTACCGATCCTTTTAATCACTTTGACACATTTTATCTCAAAATTGAAGATGGTGTCAAAAATATTGATGGTGTTTTCTTTACTCAACGGTTTTATGAGATCGTTACAAATAATTTGTGCGGCGAACTAACATCCACTGATAATACGAATGAATTGGCCACCACGCAGTCAAAACTGTTAGGTAAAATAGCAAATAGTTTAAAAAATGTTAAAAACTCGGACAAAGGGAACCTTATTTGGATACTTCTGATGGTAGTTTTCGAGTGTGAAAACAAGGAAGTTGTGCAGAACATTTGTCGTCGGTTTTGGAATATAAATTTGAATAAACTAATTCATGTACCTTTCGAAGAGCTGAAGCATCAAATAGTTTCAGATATGGTTAAGGATGCAGATACAGCCGAATTTTTTCGCAAAAAGTTTATTGACTTTTTTGTTAAAGAGTACTTAACAAATTTTTCCGATTTACAAAACTACATAGTAAAAATTGAAGATGTTTTAACCACTGGATCGCATAAGACGCTTTTAAAACTCTCAGAATTGTTACCAAACAACAAACTCGATGTAAATATCATCGACGCATTTTTAATAGCACTTAAAAAATATTCCCGGATGCAATCGCTTTGTTATATAGTGTAGGTAACTTTCGAATTAACAAAAGTTAAACTTTTGCCAGTCAGATATACATATTTTTCGCCATATATGAAATAATGACATCTTATTTTTTTAAATTCTCGTGTTTTTGTTCTTGGTTAATGATACATTCTTATGCGGTAACATACATTAAAAAGAAAAAAATATTCCGATGAACTGAAAACCTTCTTCTCTTATGAGCTTTTGTCCCACGAACTAATTAGTAAAATTTAATTTTACAGAACGACGAATTTATTGAGGTATTTAAAAAATATGTATTCGCCAAATCAGCTGGAAGACTATTCGCACCAAATTTTAGGTATAGATCTTGAAAACCTTGGTATTTGTACAGCGGTTTTGAATTCTGGTATTATTCTGACCGAAGAAACTTACATCAAGGGTATGACGCTCGGAGACGCAAACTTTGGGGATGCGAGGTAAAATAGCTGCAAAAGTTTAATTTAATAAATCAACATACATATAACACTTTAATTTTCTTTCTTACCTGAAGGACAGAGGAATTGTATTTATTAAAAATAGACAAAACGCAGTGTTCTCGCTTACAACGAATACGTTTGCAATACGTTTCATTTGTGCCCGTTGAATATACCAACGCCATATTAAATGAACTTCTTAGCATGCATAAAGCTTTGAGTATTAAAAAACCAAGATATTTTGAAAATTCCATGGAGCATAGAATAAAGATGAGAATAGCAAAGGCCATATCAACAATCATATATAAATCAAACATAAATTTTTGGAACGAGGACTTATTGAACCTGCCTCTGAATTATAACAATCAATTGAACATCAATTATGTGTACGAACTTCTTGTGGCGAAATGTGCTCCCGACGGTGATGTCATCCTTAATAAATTGATTAAAGTAAGAAAAACTACAAAATATTTTAGCAAAACCCCAAAAAGCTCCCCAGGACTTACATACATATAAACATACACACATATAAATATGTACATATATTATATTGCATACATATACCAAAGATGGCAAATGACAGTTACCACTACAAGTATTCACATTATAGGTGCATTCTCTTGCAACCGAGCTACAAAAAAACACTCGCTTAAATGACGAAATACACGCAAAGCAACAACACGAACTCGGCTATTTATCCGAATTCAGCCAGATCGGTTTAAAAATACGCTCGCGGTTAAAAATTTCGGTTTTAATTTTAAACTTTTTGGACTTCATATATGACCAAACTAAATTCAGTTTCAAATACAAACCTTCCAAGTTTAAAAAAAGAGAGCACAGGGTTTAGAATTTAAACCAGCGACCGTAACGGTTATGCTTTTAATCGAAAAAGTTAACAAATAATCGTTATTTTTTCCGATATGTTTTCAGTCAAAAATAGAAGTTAAAACTTGACTTTTATTTTTTTAGTCAAGTATAAAGGTTAAAATATGACTTTACTTTTTCGATCAAAAATAAAAGAAAAAATTTGACTTTTATTTTTTCAGTCAAATATAAAGGTTAAAATATGACTTTAATTTTTTGGTCAAAAATAAAAGAAAAAATTTGACTTATTTTTTCAGTAAAATATAAAAGTTTAAACTTGACTTTTACTTTTTCCGAAGATTACGTTAGAAAAGCATTTATGGAAATAGGCACCTATAAGGAGAAGCCCATTGATGTTGATACGGACCTTATGGATTACTGGGAGAGTAAAAAATGTATATATCCCCGACTAAGAGATCTGGCATTTATTATTGCCAGCGACACAAGTCAGTGTAGAACACGCGTTCTCAGCACTAAGCTTATTCTTAGCGATTTGCGATACAATTTGTCGGAGCAGAACTTGGCAGCCATATTAATTGTTGAATTGAATTCCGAATCATTCCTGTAAAGAGGTGATTAACTTAAAGCTCAAATTAAAGAAACTCGATATATTTACAGAAGATAGAACNAAATTAAAGAAACTCGATATATTTACAGAAGATAGAACACTGCAATTGAAAGGATGTGCATTTTTTTATTAAAACATATTGTATTGTGAATATGTAAACTGCTATGTTGACCGAAACAATAAAAGTCAGATTTAACTTTTATAATTGACCGAAAAAATAAAGGTCAAGTTTTAACTTTTATTTTTGACCAAAAAAATAAAAGTAAATTTTTAACTTTTATTTTTGACCGAAAAAATAAAAGTCAAGTTTTAACTTTTACTTTTGACTGAAAAGATATCGATTATCGAAATCGGTTGACGTGGTCCAAAGTTATGCGGTAACATACAACAAAAAAAAAAAAAAAAAAAATATTCCGACGAACTGATAACCTCCTCCTTTTTTGGAGGTCGGTTAAATAGACCAATTCTTTCCGACTGACTTTTTGAATTGAAATTTTGAAAATAACTATTATCTTCGGTCCCTGATTTAAACAGTTCGGTTTAAATTTTAAACCCAAACAAAATTAAGAAAAAATAATTATCTTAAATTTCATGCTCCGAAAGTGGGTCGCGTAGTATGGGTACGTTCCCATAGTTCCACACAAACATGATTGCCATTTTCATGCTGAACAACTTTTATTTAACCGAAAGCACAGTATACTGTGAATCGAAAGAACACTCAATATTTTCTGACATTTAATACAGTGCTAATATGATGCAAAAATTTAATTGTACATCCCTATTATGCAACTCTTTTGTATTCGGATTTTGCTACGAATCGTGGAAATTGTATGCAATGTAGGTCCCCTTTCAGACACGTCAAGTCTTGAAAGCAATTTTTTTCGCATTCTCTTTTGTGTTTTCTATTTGCTTCCACCCGCGTCAACTTTAATTGAATTCAAGTCCTTGGTTCTTTCAATGGGAAGCAACGAAAAGATCAAAAGAGACAAGAAAACTTGAAACGAATTGACGGTACGGAGGTATCTGTACTCTTCCCCTCTCTTCTCACCTCCTTCGCCAACGAACGAGCAGACTTGAAAGCAAGACTTGACGTGTCTGAAACACTAGCAATGGCATGCCTAAAAACGGACGAGTAAGAAATTGACAGCTTTTTTGCGTAATTTTGTACGAAAATAATTCTGTCGGAAACGAGATAAAATATGTAAATCCATCACCCATATTGTGCAACTCTTCCGCATTCGGGTTTTGCTACGAATCGTAGAAATAGTATGCTGCAGTCCGAATCGTATTTTCGAACTTTCGAAATTCGTAACAATGGCATGCCTAAAATCGAACGAGTAAGAAATTTACAGCTTTTTTGCGTAATTTTGTACGAAAATAAATCTCACCCCCTTTTGTGAGTGTCGACTAGTAGTATATAAACGTGGTATTTGCAAAGTCGTTTTCTCGCTCAATGAGTGAACGGTTTATAGCCGCTAATCTTTCTACAAACAATCTAGAAGGATGAGCGATTAAAAACTATTCGCTTATTGAACGAGAAATAGACATTTACAATACCATGGAAAAGCGGAAATCGAATAAAGAGTCGTTTATCTACTACTAGTCGACACTCGCAATAGGGGTGTCTGTGTCGGAAGCGAGATAAAAGATGTAAGTCGATGTGTTTTTGCAGGAAATATTAGTGCTGTTCTTTTAAACAGACATACGTATACGTATATTTTTATCCACTGCTTTATATGAACGAACAAAAATAATTTTTGTTGCCCCTTATCGAGAAACTTGGGTCCGGTTTAGTTATTCGTACAATGATTTTCGGTTGTTGTGTCCAAACGCATAACCCGGACTAAACTTTAATTTAAAATGAATGTTTCAAATTTCCGAGCAATACTTTATTAATAAATTCGGCTAGATGGCGTAGCTGGAGTGATATGCACAAGCAATGTTGTATGGCTTTGACATGCGGAAGCCACTCTTCTCCGGCAACACAGAAAGGAGAATTATACTTAGGGTTATAATCCGTAAGTGCGTCTGAAGGCAGAAGCAAGCGCAACAGGTGGTGGACCCAACAAAGTGCATGTTTTCAATTGAGAACCAGTTCTTCAGGCATCGGAGGTTGACATAGATGCGTCCATGGCAACTATGCCCGACAGCTCCGCATATCTTTGTGAATTCATTTCCATAGCGCACTCTTACTCAGCTGCTATAATTACAAATGCAATACAATCCATCGTTTCCTTCAAAATATGTAAAATCAAACAGTTTTACCATAAATAAGCAGTTGAAGAATGTTTCTAAAATTCCTTTCCACTTTGTTTTCCTTCATACAGCTGTCTTCGAAAAACAACTGATAGCTGGAAATTCTGCACAGGTTTCCGCAAGGGTTGCAGCATGTCGATTTTTCGTTTTCCGTAACGTAGCTACGAATTACGAATTACGAAAATTTGGGTTCGAACCCTAAAAATTTTAGCAATTTATCGAATTTTCCTGAGTTTTGTAAAAATTTATCAATACAATTTTTGGTTGTACTATGAACTATATCGCACGTTTAATATTATAGAGATGTAATTCAAAGTTTACGTTTTTGGAGATTTGATAACAAGGATAATATTCTCAGCCTAACAGATGACTAAACTTCCCAAAAATGGCGAAGATATGTGTCTTTCCATGTGTGTTTGGTGTACCAACAGCATGAATTGGTCAAACTTTGATTGCGTTTTCCCTCAAAATCGAAATTTTGAAATAATTCTGTAGCGAAAAGAAATTAAAATATAAAACTTTGCATATTGTAAAAAAATGTCTGTATGTAGACTTTTGTACGTTTTGTAGACGTACTTTTTTCAGGTCAAAAAAAAGGGGGGGGGGGAAATTAAAACCATAGCTGGTTGGAAGGTCACTTGAAAGGACAAGGTACTTTTTTTTATCCAAACATACTAGTTATCCTGAACTCTCCATAACAAAGGCTTTAAAATACTGTTAAATTAATTTTTCTAGATGTACTCGACATATTAGATTTTGTAGTATGCTGTTCTAAGCATCAAGGAATAGCAGACGAATGCATATTGCACAGTACCGCATATGCAAGATAAATGAGAGAAACCGAAAATCTTTTTTGGTGAATTGTCATTTACGATCTCGCAGATTTATACATATATATCAACGCACCTTGAATAGGTAGTATCAGTAGAGCAGCCGATTTGATTTTTTTTTTCAAATTATTTGGTCTCGAAAATGTCATATATTTTTAATTTATTCTCACAAAAATTCTAAATTGTTAAAATCCATGGTACAATAATTACAGGTATTGTCTTCCCAGAGAGTTTTGCTTCACATCGAAATTCGTGCTCCCTTAATTTCATTTTGACGCAGTTCAATGTTGGTCCTTTTACTTTTATTTGGTTTTGCTTTTTGTTTTCGCTCAATTTAATTTTTATAATCTTCCAAAACAATAGAAAAAAACGTTTGAAATGAAGTGAGCCATACAAATTTTGAATTTATTTACTAGCAAAAGTTAAGCAAATGAAATGAGTTCTCAGCAAAATGATGGTTCGTTTGAAAACATACGTGTACATACATGGTATATGGGGTATGGAAATATCCCTTTTCCCTAGTAGTAAGTAAACCTTTTAGTGTGGGCAGCAATGATGTTTTTCAAATAAGGTAGATCGGAATATGCGCTCCCTGGGAAGACAATACCTGTAATCATGATAAAAATATAGTAAGGTAGAACCGCTGAGAGTCACTTTTAAAATTCTTGACGTTTCCAAACAATTTAATTTTTAAATTTACTCACAAACTCACACACACATTTTCATTTTCAATCTCAAGCAACAACA